ACTTTTTTAAGAAAGGCACGTCGTTTCTCTCGTTCTCTCTTTCCCTTAATGGCGTTTATTAGAGCCAGACGGTGTCGAAACTGCCGTTATGAGCCTCCCCCCTTTTTTTCGTTGCGTACAAAAGTCCCGCAATGATCGGGAGAAGCTGGCGCGCGGCTTGATTTGTGAAAAGCAATTCTCGTGTGATGGCTCCTCCTTGACGGCTCGTAATGTTACACTTAGCACGCCGGAGGGTTGATGGCAGATAAAAAAGTCCGACCGAAGAGTAGACGGCGTCGTAAGCTCGGATGAATCGCACTTGACAAAGATCTAAACTCGTCTAACGACGTCTTTATATAATTGTAGCTTATTCCTATAGTTGCTTAATTATACAGTTAACGAAAATTTCTTGCATCCGTAAATGTTCAGAAAATTCAGAACGATCCGAGAACGATCGTACAATATTGGCAATATCTTGCTCTATAACGCGGACAAATAAATATATACTATCTTTTGCGATCGTGGACTTCGCAGAATACCCACGGTTGTACGTTTTTACCCCCCCCCCCGTGATCGATACATACATCTACATAGGTCTCGTTGACCATGGGACTTATCGAGAAACTATGATATTGCGATTCCGACGGGAAACGGGAGTTTCCGATTGCAACACAACATACCTATATTGTATATATTTTTGCACTGTCATAGATCTCTTTCGGGGATTGTCCTAACGTCGCTACGCGACGAGACAGACACGCGATATCAGTCTTTTCCAATCATAGTTCGCGCAGTCGTGTCTGCGTATAGCGAGCTTTGTCCCGATCGAAATCGTTCGTTCGCGATGTGTCAGAAGCCTGTTCATCGTTCTCAAGTCAATCATATCCGCGATAGAATAATGGTTGAGCAACGGGAACGTTTTGATTGAATACTCTAACTATAAAGCAATTGTACATCAACCGATCTCTCCTACTCAAAAGTTGAGACAGTTTGGCAGCGCGCGTGTACCTGAGCCTTACAGCCTTATCATAAATTCACATTAAGGATGCCTACGCACGCCTGTAACCGATAGGTACTCGGAATTTAGGTCAGATAGTATCCTCTAATAACGCTGCGCGCTAATAGGCTTACTTGCGGCCACGGCTGATGTGCGATAGGACGATGCATCGTATCTCTCTCGTCCCAGATTATCAATGTACTTGAAAGCCTTGCGTGCGGATCCACGCAACGTGCGTGTAACTGTCAGATTTTACGTCTCTGTATATTATTAATTGACATCGCTGTTCGGCGCGTTGAATTCCATTTACGTGTGACACTTAAAGATCACATTAACTATCGCGAGACACATGAGAAGTGAATCCGAGAGTTTTTAAAAATACTCTACAAAATTTAGAAGCTTTTATTTTCTTATGTTCATTTCTATTAATGTAGATTAACTTTAATCTCGGCTTAACTTAATTTTTATCTTTTTCTAGTTCTAAGAATTAGAGAAAGATAGAAGGTAAGTTAAGAAAAATAATAAAAGATAATAGAAATTAAATCTAAGACGTTAGAAACTTAAGATATTATAAATGTAAATGTAAATGTACTAGTTTGGCAGGTAGACAAAGCGTATACGAAATCTCATTTTAAATGTCATATCTAATGGAATTAGAAATGAAGCTGCACGGAGAGAATTTTTTGTTATATTTTACCCTTCAAATTCACTACAAACTTAGGACAACTTGGCAACCAAGGAATTTTTAAAATATACAAAAGACATTTTACAAACAACGTGATAAAAATTACCAAGCAGATTGGTAAATTTTGAAAAATTATTGAAATTTCTTAGATATATTTCAGTAAAATTAATTAAACATTTTTTATATTTTAACGTAATAGATATTAATATTTTTTATTATGGTGGATATTAATCAGAATCATAAAATTCTTGGTGGTACACGTTGTTCTACAACTATTACTATGATTTCAGGGTAAATTTTAAGAGAAAATTCTCTCCGTGTGGTTTCGATCTTTTACCAAGTAGAGAGAGAAACAATACACATACAGAGTACTCCTCATGTTCTGAACCGTAGGTGAGATTGCAGATCCTCGATATTTACGAATGATCCCGTGTGCACGGATAAACGACTTCGATGCACGCGAATGTCAAGAATATTGCATCGATAACCCGCGCATGAAATGCAGAGGAGCCATTCGATGCACCGCCGGGTATGCGCGTATGGGGCACATCGCGATCGATACTCTCTGTTTCATACTGCGTGCATTTCCATATCTTTATGAAAGCTATTGCAAAACACACGCCGAAGACGAAACGAGAAACTTTTGATAACGCGGAAATCGATCATTGACGAGCTTTGGCCAAATTATCTGGAATGCAAGCAGATAACATATGGAGCTGTTAAGGGAAATTTCACGAATATTTTACGTCTTGGTAAATTGCGTTTTACACGGTGGATTATCACTGTGCGCGTCAAAAACCTTTACTGCAATACGGTTTATGTCTGAGATTGCGTTACGTGGAAAATATTTGCTCGAAATTTAGTTACACCAAATACTCCATAACAACGACTAAAGCAGTACTACTACGAGGGTAAATATTACCTTCGACCGAAGCTCCGCTTCGTGTATGCGTCTACTGACACGACGCCTAATGTGCATAAATTGTAAACTGGAGAGGATAAGAGCTGCGAAGCGCATCGTCGATAATCTGTTTCGCTTCCATCTAAGCCAAGGGTTGGACCCTTTCAATCTCACTCATCGCTTTATCCATCGGTTTAGAAACTTTTACACGTACATTTTCTTTTTGGGAAAAAATTTCTCAGGATCGCAATATGATGTAAAAATTTATAAAAAGAAATTTTTTTATAAATTACGAGAATATGTCTTTTATTTGCTGTCATTTAACTACGGTTATAACTGTACAAATTTCTTCGCATCTGGGAATTAATGATCTGTTTGATACACAATGTCACTAATTAATATGCACTCGTAATATCCACATTCATATTTGGATATAATTCGGCACGCTGCACGATAAACGTTTTTACGCATCAATGAGTGTTATGGCATATATAGGAATTATGAGAACGATTGATCGTGTTGGCATCCCAATTAATAATTCGACGAATTCGTGTACCATAATAGTTATTACTGTTCCATTATGAAAATGCCCTCACGTGTTTGAATGTCGACCGGTCTCGGTTTATCCTGCTTCAATGTAAAGGTTCGATTTTCAGTTTATAGCGAGAAGTCCGATTGCTGGATGCATACTAATTTGGTGTATGTACCAATAATACACTGCTGGTGACATTTATCAACATAAAGAAGCTACAGCGAGGAATGTATTTGCTATATCTGAAGAGAATGTATTTAGCTGTAGGGTGAATCTATAGGGTGTCCCAGTTTAATCTTTACACGCGGTTATCTCCTTATAAACTATTCATCTCTCTGAGATTCTAAGGAAATCTTTTTTTTTACTATGTACCTTTTTTAGTTAGACGCTTAGCCTAGGATATTGATCCGATATCTAGCTTTGCTGGACACCCAGAAAATGTTCTTTATCTTCTTTTGTATTCGAAAAAACGATCTTGGTCATGAATATATTGTTTTATCCTGAATGATAATTCTATCTCCTCGAAAGTTGTCTTGGTAATTTATTAGGCAGGCCATAATTCAGGCCTTCATATTATTAGGGGTGAGTTCTTCTCGATAAACTTTATCTTTTACAAAGTCCTACAAGAAAAAATCTAAAGACATCAAATTCGGGGATCTCGATGGGAAGGGTATGTTATGTCCTCTTCCTATACCCAACGATCAGATAACATGTTGTTGAGCGTTTCTCAAATCTTGCGATATAAAACAGAAAACATAAAGATCATACACTGTTGAATTTAATGGGGTTCTTCACTAACTTTTGCTCCCGCACAGGGGAGCCACTGTGGCTGGTAGTTAGCGGCGTAAATGATACCAATACTACCAAAAAATACTACCAATACTACCAAATACTACCAATTTTTATATTGGTGCTGCACTCTATGCTAGCTTTTACTGAAGAACCCCATTCGACACAATCTAGAGAAAACATTCTAAGTAAGAAATGTAGCTGTAAATAAGAAGGGTAAAATGGAAATTTGGAAGAAAATTTTTTTTTTTCTGAAGGTGTCTTCTCGAAAATTATAATCTTCTTTAAAAACTATCGGGTATCAAGGTTTCCAATCTTCTATGATTCGAAACGCGATACCAGCGATGTTAAGATGTAAAAGGAAAAAAAATTACCTTTATACTCACACGGCGGGGGATGCTTGCTCGTGGTAAATACCAGGAGACTCGCAGAATGCTCGATGTTAATAGCTGTCCGGAAGGACTCGTTGCAGCAGCGCTAAAGGGTCCTTTGTGGAGCTACGCATACGTTCCGAAATTCCTGCGTCGCTGCTACATCCGCGTTCTCACGGATATACCGGGCCGCGTTGTATTCGTCTATGCTGAAAGCGGAACTTTGAGGACAGGTTGAAAGAGCTGCCGTGCATTCTTCGAGGGCCGCTCGTTACAGGGGTTTCGCTGCGAAGAATTTAACGGAAGAATTTTTGCTCCTGGACTGAGGCTAATCGAAACGTTCCTCTTGTTCTTTGAGAGAACATTTAGTATTATCATGAAAACTGTAACACGGCAAGTAACGCGAGGCTCGCTCTGTAACGAGAAAATATCTCATAAATATGTAAAACTTCTGAGATAAGAGATGATTCCAGAAAATGCGTTATATCTATAATCAATATCGCGGAAATTCTTCAGATTCTTTTGATGTATATGTATAATATCAATAGCTTATCTTACGATTGCATTGAAAAATATTACTGATAAATTTTGCCACTTGTCCATTTTTAACGAATAAATTGAAGAAGGTTTAAAAAATATATTAGGCGATATGTTTTATATATTAAAAATTATATAATAATTAGTTTTTTTATTAAATATAAAACTAATTGTAATAAAATATTAATAAATGACTTTTCTATTTGCAGTTTAATACACCGAGATACAAGGCCAGAGCCGGCAATACGATGTTCGACTTTGAAAGGAGCGACCAGACTACCGTCAGCACCAGACCATCGCAGTGAAGCTCGATTAAGGATAGACCCAAAGGTGTTGGTCTTCGTAGAAACTCTATACTCAAGGCTAGGCCGAGAGATAGCTGAGCTGCTAGTTTATAATCGAATAAAGTGAGTACGGACTATTTTTCTTTTGTATCAGCCAGCACAGAGGGTTGAGTTGAGCGGTGTTTCTTATTTATTTGCCAAACAGTTACAAATCTGCACGATTCACCGCAAAGTCATTTTTATATTGACTGATAGTTATTATTATTAAACAATTATTAATAATTATAAATAATTAATTTACGGACATGTTATAAATTACTTAAAACATCGTCGTAAATATTTGACCTATTTGCATGCACCGCATTTGCATGCAACACGTCTTTTATGCGTACCGACCTGATTCCGGAAAAAAGATTTTATTCTAGCGCGATCTAAAAGTAGGTCGCCAACGTAAGCTTTCTTCGGAGTTCTCGGTCGCAATAGTTCATACTATTAGGCAAAAAGTATATGGCTAATGGCACCCCAGTTGCTGAAGTCGATCAATACCTTGACACATACTCCTGAACGTGTTTGTAAGCTCGCGCGCTAGTTCACGATCCTTTTTATTCGTAAACGCTTTATTTCTCGTTCGTGAGAAAGAAATGGTAAATGACGTGGTATTTCATGAATTGGAAGCAAACACACTTTATTCCCTCGTATTTTTAAACGCCAAACCGATAGTAAATTCGCATGTTTACTTTAATTCCACAAAATCGTCCGCCAACACAAGTTCTATGTACATCGAGAATTTAGGAAGAATTTGTAAATCATATTTTATTTCTGAAGCTCTTTTTTTTTATTTGTACAACAAAGTTCTCGCTAGTACAGCGAAACGTTTATCGAGAGAAAATATTTCCGAAAAAATTTTTCCGGAAAAAAACTATATTATCTAGATCTTGTTGTAATTCTCCCATACCGCCGATCCGAATTTTTCAAAAAATTCTCGACGTTTATAATTCCGCGATGGAGATTCCGCAAATCCCGGTTTTACTACATCGTCGACGATGTTATTTCGTGAATGTCCGGTATAAAAATTAGAAATGCAGATTTCTCGACCATATCGTAAAGCCCGAACAGTTTTTTAGGCTATTATACGGTTTCCACGAATATTTTAAAACCATTTCGCCTATCTGGGCAGTTAGAAATCGACGCAATGTTAATTTGCAGGTATCGTGAAACCAGTTCGGCTCTCTTACAATTAGCCTAATTAGCTTCCGTACTCAATGTAATCGATATACCGAATCTTTTTATATTTGAAGAATTAAAAATCCTAAAATATCTTTTTTCTTTTTTAAATCACCGGATGTCGATATAAAATAACGCGCATTATCAATAGACGAGGATAAAGCGGAGAATGCTCGCTTATTTAGAACTAGAATATCCTACATTTTAGTATGCAATTTCGTACGGTTACATGGACTAATATGTGACAATATGAATTGTTAACAGGTAAACGTATAGACTAGCAGTATAGTGCTCCGATATTCGGACGAGACTCGATAAATAAATATGTCCACAGTTGTCCATAGTACGATAAACAAGGAACATAACGTGGTACAACTACATAACGAAGCTATATCAGGCGTTAAAATTTTGTGTCTATTTACAGCCGCGCGCAAGATTTCACTTTTTCATTCCGCGAAAATTGCATGTGACGTGAGCGTGCCTGGAAAAGTTCAACGAATTTGCTGTCGGGGACACGGTGTATCGCGAAATTTACCTCATTCATGATATGCGCATTTCTTAAACGGTAATAGCCGGGCCAAAAGCCTGTTATGGGAGCGATGTATATAGAATCGCTCGAAACTTTGACGTTCGGTGAGAGAGAACTTAAGCCGGATGTGTCCTCGGATTTCGAAATAGGATAAGGTCCTGAGAGAAAGAGAAGAAGGGAGGGAAAGAGAGAGAGGGAGAGAGAATGGATGAGGGGAGAGAGAGAGAAAGAGAAGGATAAGCGGAAGTCCGCCGAAGGTATTCTCTATTATCTCCCGATTCTTCCGCAGTTAATCAAATAATAATGACGGATGAATGCGATCCGTTGCCTGCTTCCGCAGGTCCTGAGCGCCTATCGGGAATTATGATGCAGTCGCGTCGTGACACGATGCACATGAGAGAGCATATTGTAGTTTAAAGCACAATACGAGATAGAGACGAATAGCGTTTAGGGGGGTTCGCGCCCCATCCTCCGCCGTAGGAGAAACGAATACGCGCGACGTACAACATGGCTCGATACGGAGCGAACACGCAGATGTGCGTATCCCCGTGAACTGGCAAATGGTAGAGTGTTCTCACCTGCGTGCTGGAAGGACAGAGCGTCGGTATGCCGATATGATCGGAAAGGTAAAACCAACAGCCCGGGCATCAGTGATACGCGCTCACGAGAGCACGAGGAAACCACCGACCAAGCTCGTCGCCGCGGTATCTCGTTTGCTTTATCCAGCGCAATTTCATAATCGATACTGGCGCCTGGGGGTAGGAGGAAGGACGGGAAAGGGGTCGTCCACGCTGGCCGCACAGCGTCCACCTGTGTGTGGCGTCAGGCAAATTTTGTTGTCGGAGATTGCGAGGCACAGATATGGAAAGCGTCGCGCCGGATTGTGTTTCGCCGCGAGCCCCACGTACGTACACGTACGTGCAATGTGCACGTCGACGCACTACGATGTGCATAATGAAATATTTATCGATGCGCGGGTCCTTTGCGTGCGAGAAGAGAGCATCGCTATACCTGCCTTTACGTCGTGTATATACATGCACGTAATGCGATATGGAAAAGTTTTGAATCTGGGGATCCAGCTGCGCTAGATAAAATGCGATATCTCTCGCCCCGGGATACTCTCTCCCTCTCTCCAGCCGGGACGTAAGAAAAATAGGGGGCGAAGGAAGAAGTTTCTATAAGCGAGTTGAGTTCTCAACCCGTTTTACCTTACGTACGAGCGGTGTCTGTGTTTTATCTTGCCTGCAGCTTTTATTGCTTATTAACTGCTTTTATGTGCACTCGTATCGCTTTATTGATTATCGCCCATATCGCGGATGATGAATAATGCCGATATAAAACGCGCAAGATGTTTCGAATTACTGAAGGTCTGTTCTAGCGGAAACTTTTACACGAGTAAGAATTTTGTAAAGCACAAAACGGATGTTAGAATATATACAAAGCTTAATATTGTGAAAATTAATCTCTCTATTGAGGTAAACTTCAATTTTAGACGCGTTACAAGGGAAACTTTCACAAAGGGTACAGAAATTTCGAATTAGCACGAACCTCTGGCGCGTGTGAAAACCGATCAAACAATCAAATGTCAATTGTATTTATCGGCGATATTCTATTCGACACATGGCAATCAAACGAATTCTCTCTCATCCCTCGCGATATTTTTAGTTCGTTTTCCATTGATGGGTTTCTCGATGCGTATCTACCTGTCGAGAAACCTTCAATAAACGTTCGCGTGTTATCAGCGTGGAGAAAGAAGTCTTCTATTTCTCAATCGAGAGAATGCTGATATCGATCACGCTATTCCAACACACCGGCATGGCGTCTTCCCTCCCCGTCCGCGTCGTCGGGTTATATCCCAATACTAACATAGACGCGCGACATGGTCTTCGTTACTCGCGGCACTATCGATAAGGGAGAAGAGGGTGGCGGCCGCGCAAAGGGTAAACGTTCCACGTCGCGTGTCGCCGAGGGCAAACACGCCGATCAACCCCCTGTGTCGCGTATTTTTTCATCGCACGCACCAGTAACTTTCATCATCTCGAATCCGTCTTTTCATTTCGCGACTCATCTCCCCTTTGTCCCTTCCGGCGCGCGTTGTCTCGTGCTGTCGCAGTTTTTTTTCTCTTCTTTTATCTCGCCCATTTCTTTCCCGTACTCTCGTCGAGATACTCTCGCGCACCCGTTGGCTCGTAAGAAAAATAGATGAATAGTGTCATCGCGGATCCGGGGGTGTCTTGTCGGGGAGACGCGCGGGAGATACCTTCGCGTGGTGGCGTTGAGCTATCTTACCTTGTCGCGCACAAATTACGGCGCATTTTTAGCTCCTCCATTATTTATACGTGGGGAACGGTGCTATGTACACGTGCTCGTTGCGTATAATACACGCACGGAGCAGCTGAATTTTTAATAGACAGGCTGCGCCCGTCTCCGTGATTTCCGGCGCGCGCGCGCGCTTATAATATGCACGATACGGTCGTTCGCGCGGATGTAACATCTCAGCGCGGAGGTATTTCGGAATTATGGGGAAAAATATGCGGCGTTTATTCAGCCTTTTGCAAGGGGAGCTACCGGGAGATGGTTTCGGAGGGAGACCCCGCGCCGCCATTTATTTTCAGACCGTAAGAAAATCAACGTCTGTCACGTAAACCCCGCTATTTATATCAAGTCAAGTTACGTACAACGTGTCGCGTAATTACTTGAAATATTGCCGCCTTGAATAAGATAAAGAGGTATTGTACATTCTCGAGAGAGGTACAACGCCGCTCGCGCTATAGTTTGATTCTATTCCTTATAGTCGCTGTAAACGTAACAGCTTCCATCTAATACAAACGTATTGTAGCCGGGAACTCTTGATATATTACCGGCGGTACAAATATGAGCTCTTGTACTTTGGAAAAATATGTAAGGGCGCATGCACACAATGAGAGGAATAATGAACAAGGAATTAAACATAGTAGTCGCATTTTTTTTGTTCCAAAGACACAGCTTCTCTGTTTTTTTTAAGACACGCGGAATTCTCTCTATGTTTAATTCCTTGTTCCTTATTTTTAGTAATTTATTATCAATATTTTTTATCTTGTAAAATAGTTTGTACTAATTAGAGAATTAGTGAGTAAAGAGTAGTGTTATCTTATTCATGTACAGTGAAATTTTATGACATTAAATCGGATGACGGATGACCGTTCAGTCTCTCGTTTCATATCATATCTTTCCTATCCGCTTATTCAAACGTAACAGTTCGCAAATATACCCATGGCGTAAAAATAACGCAGCTACAGTCTCCATAATTAATTGGACGATATAGCTAATAATACGACTAGGAACGGACAGTTGTCGTGACATAATGCAAACTCGACGGCATAAGAGCGAG